TTTCCGAAAATGCGGGTAGGAACGCTTGTCCAATCCAGTGTCCTTCGTCGTCGCCACCAGCGTGACCCTGCGGCCATCGCGGGGCGCGACGGCGAACGAAAGCACCGCGAAATAGCCAGTGTGGTTGCCCTTGGGGATGGCCAGGTGCTTCTGGCACTCCTTCGAGAGGATCCAAAGTAGTGTCGCTGCGGTGCCGTGTCCATGGCACGCTTCGACATTCAACGCCATGCTATGCCATGCTCTCCTGTGCCATGCTACGAGAAGATATAGTAGAAATGCTTATCTTGGAACTCCAAGTCGTCATCATTATCACCATCATCATCAGCAGCATCATCATCACCAGCATCATCAGCAGCATCATCATCCGCGGCAGCAGCAGAAGCAGCAACGACATCATGAACATTATCATGAACATTATCATACTCCTCACCGCCATCCGCATCACAATCACCACCGCGATCAACAACAACATCCGCATCGTCGTCGCCAGCATCATCATCACCATCATCAGCATTACCACCTCCTCCTCCTCCTCCTCATCATCATCATCATCAGCAGAACCGTCAGCATCATCACCCGCGTCGTCACCATCCGAATCATCACCATCACCAACATCATGATCATGATTGCCACCATCATCATGAGCATCCTCCTCCTTCTGTTCCTCCTCCCCTTTCCAGCACCATCATCACCAGCATCTCCACCTTGGTCATCAACATCCTCAGCCGCGTCACCATCGTCATCAACATCATTTTCCGCGCCACCACCTCCACAAGGATCACTATCATCACCATCACCAGCATGATGTTACCAGTGCCACTCAGCAGTCAATCCTCATCCTCATCATCGTAAGATCACCCCCATCATAATAATCATCATCATCGTCGTCATCATCATCATCATCATCATCATCATCATCATCATCATCACCCTTACCACAATTAACCCTCGTTTCCTCCTCCTCCTCGTCGTCCCCCTCTTCAGAAGCATCTTGGCCGTTTCGCCAGGGACATCCTCGAAATGCGGGAAATCGGAGGCACCCCGCACACAGATCGTGACGGCAAGGTCCAAAACCATGGGAATTTCACCATTCTGACATAAAACCTGGAAAACGCACATTCTGCTGCCAATGCGTTCGACCCCAATTCTCGGAGAATGGCGTCCCCGATTCAATGATTTTGACCCCGATTCGGTGATTTTTTCCCCGAATCCGTGTAGAAGTCTCCGTAATCCACGCCGAAATTCAAATCCTTCCGGATACTCTTCTTGATCCACTGAACCTGCTTCAACAGGTCGGGGCGGTCGGCCGCGGACACATCGGCGTCGGGTTTCAGAAGGTGCGCCCGGTGGACCTGCCGAGGCGCCACGCGGATGGTGGTGCAGAAGGAGGACTCGAGCTCGCGTCGGAGCTCCAACGTCTCTATGCCCCTCTGCCGCGCCAGCATCGGCGGCGCATCCTCTGCGTGGCGCGACGTGTCTTTGTCGGGAAGGCCACGGAGTTCCCATCCTGCTTTCGACTGGCACAAGGCGGCCGCCCACTTGCAAGGCGGAGTCTGGCCGTGCAGGTTGCAGCGCAAGATCGCGAAGTGCTCGCGGCACTTGGCAACCTTCCCATGCGTGGGTGGCTCAGTGAATCCAAAGTCAAAGGCGCACCCCATCCCCAGCCCCTGCTCAACGCATGGTTTTCCTGGCCGCGCCCGGCGGGCCAACGAGGGCGAAGGCGTCGACGGGGGGCGACGAATGATTTCGTCAACGGGCGCCGCGTTATCCAGGTGGCGCAATCGATGTGGAAAACCACATGGGGCGCGATGCAACCGCGAACGCCCGCAGAGCACACGCACGCACACGCACGGCTGACACCCGTGGCGCGTGACGCCCATGAGGCGCTTGCGCAGGCCCACTGAGCGACACACCTGGGTTACGCCCAGCTCCCCCCCTGGAAACATGCGCACAGCTTGGGTGGAAACGTGGATGACGACACGTAATGAGACAGAACGTGTCCCCGCCAAGATAGGTGCAGCCTTCGCGGCGTGCCCGCGCACGCGCGAATTCACGCCGAGGTCGGTGTATGCAGCCTGCTTGGTGGGGTAGGTCTTACAGAACCTCGTGTAGTCAGAAGGATTGTACTGCACCTTCGGCGTTTCCACGGCGCGCTCCTTCGACACTGGAAGCTGCGACTTCTTCGGGAGTTTTGGCGCGCACCACAAGGGCCCGCTGCTCCACAGCCCAGAGGCAGCGGGCACCAGAGGGAGCCAGAACCTCTGCGACGACCACCACATCACAGCAACTGGGCGTGATTGGAACCGTGCGGGGCGGGAGGATCACTGCGAGTTCAACGCGGCTGCTCGTTATCTCACCTACCACTCGCTGCGCAAATCCAGCCTCATCCTGCGAATATTTCCTCTTCGCCTCCGCCTCGCACTTCTCACCACATTATTGTCTCTCTTCTCGGGCCGGGCGAAAAGGGGGGATAGAAACGGGGGGCGGGGAGAATCAGCTCACGTAGCTGATTTTCCCGGCGCCTCCTGGCGCTGGCGGCGGCGATGTATCGAGGCATGGGCTCCTCGGCGAGGCCGAAACCAGCTGCATGCAGCAGATTTCGCAACCCCCCCTTTCCCAATCCCCCCCTTTCGTCCGGCCCGATCTTCGTCGAACCTCTCCTGCCAAATCGTCATACTCATCCTTCTTCTCATCCTCATGCAAACCACGATTGCGAGCTTCAGGAGGGAACTCGGCCGATCAAGAGTGCAATGGGAAACTCTTACAACTTCCGAGTCCTGCCACGTTGCCACGGAACCTCCACATGACATCCTGGACACGCCATCGCAACTCAGGAGCTGCCATGGGCGCCCTCGGTGGTCTTCCCCCCGCCACATGCCATCGATGGCTTTTAAGGTGGCGCAACAAAATGCAAAACGAATGGAGGGATCCGATGGCCCCCAAGATGGCCGATAAAATGGCTCCAAGAGGCGTCCTCGCCCTCGAGACCTTCAGCCTCATACGTCGGAGGAGACCTTCAGCCTCATAGGCCGGCTGCAAGAAGGTCTTCGGCGGCTGTAAGAAGGTCTTCGGCGGCTGCAAGAAGGTCTTCGGCGGCTGTAAGAAGGTCTTCGGCGGCTGTAAGAAGGTCTTCGGCGGCTGTAAGAAGGTCTTCGGCGGCTGTAAGAAGGTCTTCGGCGGCTGCAAGAAGGTCTTCGGCGGCTGCAAGAAGGTCTTCGGCGGCTGTAAGAAGGTCTTCGGCGGTTGCAAGAAGGTCTTCGGCGGCTGTAAGAAGGTCTTCGGCGGCTGTAAGAAGGTCGTCGGCGGCTGTAAGAAGGTCTTCGGCGGCTGTAAGAAGGTCTTCGGCGGCTGTAAGAAGGTCTTCGGCGGCTGTAAGAAGGTCTTCGGCGGCTGTAAGAAGGTCTTCGGCGGTTCCAAGAGGCTCTTCGGAGAGCACCAGAGGCTCTTCCGAGAGGCTCTTCGGTGAAGGGGGGGGGGGGGCGGAGCCTTTTTGGACCCCCCCCCCTTCACCGTACTCGATAATTAATACACTCCGGAGGACCCCTGGCCATACTAACACCCACCGGGCCGCAGTAACAACCAACGGGCCGCAGTAACACCTTATCTCGGGGGAGGGGGAGGGGGAGGGGGAGGAGGGGGAGTGGAGGGGGGGAGGGGGAGGTGGGGAGGGGGGAGAGGGGGAGTCTGATTTTTGTTACGATTGACCCAATACGTATTCGTACAGTAACTGATTGCTACATGCTCTGCATCATGCTTCTACTTCCCTCTCTACACATGCCTAACTTCTGACTCTGGTCCTCCTGGATTACAAGAACCGAGTACTTAATTGATTCAAAAACAGTGCGGAGCTATCGACCATGGACCCAAAAGTGGGGTCAGACTTCGTTGAGCTAAGGGTACCTGGAGTCGGCCACGTAGAGCTTATCGTAGAGGCCGCAGAGCGTGACGTACTCAAGGATCTCTTCATCTTTGTACATCGAATAATCATCCTCGAGACTCACAATCGGATATCATCAACTTTACCGGGTCTTGGACCATCATCTTTTCGGATATCGTTAACCTTATAAGATGTAGGAACATCATCATATTATCGGATATCGTTGGTTTTACCAGGTGAATCAATCCATCATAGCAAGTGTTGTGCATACCGATGGCGATTCTGCCCAGGAAGGTTTCATCTGTATGAGGTCGTTCTCGGTCACTGTAATAGCTGGAGCGTCGATCGTCGCGACCAAACACTCGATCCCTTTTTGTCTCCACACGCCAGAAACCATATGTAATCAAACCATGCAGTATTTCAGATCAAATACTCTTAGTGTGTCCACCTGCTACCATCCCCCTAGTAGGACACCAGAACAAATCCTTCGAATATATCCTCGAAGCCTGCCCTCACGAACTGACAGTACATATCTCCTTTGGTGTCGATCCTGAGGTACTCCTTTTAATCCAATGCTCAATTCAAAGAAATCCCTACAACCTGTCCAGTGGTCTATTGGGATCATGCATTCGGCATTGTCCTGGATGTTGATCAGGTCCTTCATAGAACTTGGCGTAGTCAATGTTGCAATAGTCATTCTGTTTATCTGATAATGCTGGTCCCTGCTATTGCTGTTGCATGCTTTCACCCCTCTGCCCGTAAACATATTGGCTGAGGGGGCCCCCTTCTGCCTACGCTACCAGCTAGCATAACTTATCATTTGCAGCGAGAAGGTCTTGGAATAAAAGATTCACGCATATTGTCAGCACCTGCGTGTGCGTTGCATTGGCAGCGGAGCGTGTATTCCGAGCTCCCTCGCAGGGAGAACCCTTTCGGCATCAGACAGTTTCTTCCCGGACACTCCCGTGCAGTCGGACAGATCCCGACGGATATTACATCTCGCACGATGGCTGACCGGAGGCCTGCTGCTGCCGCTGGTTCTCGCGGTGCCGCCGCACCGAAGAAGTACGGAGATCGTCGATGCAGGGGCAAGCACCCTCGAGATGGAGCCGCGGCAGCGGCTATGCCCGACGATGAGACCTACGAAGAGGAATGGGCCGACGAGTGGGCTGGAGAGGACTGGGCCGAGGACGACGACGAGGAGTCGGAGATTCCACCGAGCTCGGCGGAGTTTCGACGCACCCGCGGTGATCGCAAGAAGTGGCGCGGAGGACCGTGCCCAGCCCCACCTCCACTCGAGGCCCGGTTTCAGAATATATACAAGCAGCCGAGATACTACCAGAAGTGGGTTAGGAAAGTCCACATGTGGAAGGCCAGGGCGCGACACTACAAGCCGATGGCCGAGCTGGCCCTGGACCTTTCGGACGTCATCACGGGCGAGGGCGCAGAGATGATCGAGTCCTTGGAATGGACCCGTTTGTATTCACAAGATGGTATTGATTTGGTGATCAACTCACTCGCCGTGTTTGACGAGCAGCAGATCCTACAGGTTGGAGACCTCATGGAAGAGTACGAAGAAGTGGAGCGTCTGCCCGGTGAGCTGCTGGCCGCGTACGTCGCGCATTTCAAGGATCTCGAGATGCGGCTCAAGCGGGCAGAGCTTCCAGCTCAGCAAGGACAATTTCGTGCATTCAAGTTGTTGCGAAGTTCATGTTTATCGCCGGAGGTTCGGCGCAACCTCCTCCTCGCCACGGGCAATGAGTATGACTTCGACCGCCTCGTTCAGGCTATGAGTGTGCAGTGGCCGTCCACCGCCCCGAACTGGGTCGCTCCAGTACGACGGATGGCACGCAAGCGACTCGGTGAGGCGGCCGCTCCTGAACGCAGGTCGGCTGGTCGAGATCACGACAAAGGAGGCGGCAAAGGACGAGATCGACAGCCACCGAGTCGAGCTCCTCGACCGCCGCCGAAGCCGCCCCACGTCAGCGAGGCCGACATTATTCCCGAGGACGAGGCTGAGGAAAACGAAGATGAAGATGACCCCGATCAAGCAGAAGTAAATGAGGCTTACGCCGAGGAGGTTGACAGTATCCAGGTCATGCAGGAGGTGGCGGACGCTTTGACCGTCACCAGCGACAAGTTGAAGAAGCTGACCTTGGGCCGCGGGTGGACCGGAAGGTCCTCACCGCCGAAGCCTGGAGACCGACGCCCGCCACCGCGGTCAGCGCCCTCCGGGGGTGCCGCCGCCCCTGCGGGCCGGCCGTCCCCAGCGCCGCCCGGCAGGCCGCCGCAGACATCGCCAGCACCGCCACAGAGAGGCACTGCGACGCCGCCGGCCGGCACGTCTTTTTCAGGAAGCATTCGTGGAACATTTATGGGAGACCGATCCGGAGATTCAAGAGCACCGGCGGCATCTCAGAGGCCAGGGTTTCGCCAGACGTCTTCGAGGACCGGCTACAAGGATAAACGCGATCGAGCTCGCGCCGTTCATGATGCCTCGATCGATCAGGACGAACCCGCCGATGAAGACGATGAGGAGTGCGCCGCCGATGCGGTAGAGCACGAGGCCTTAGTCACGCACCTCTCGCCCGACGAGCTGCAGCAGCGCGTGGCCGCCTTCAAGAGCAGGGTCGCCACCGGCGACAAGGGGGCCTCTCACGTTCGATTTCAGGCAGCGCCAGAAGTGCGTCAGTTTTCCGTGGATTCTCGCGGAGCTCAGGCGGCGAGAAGCGGGACAAAATCATCGCATCAGGTCGACGTCATCTGGCATGTCCGGACGCCCTTGGACGTTTGCTTCCTCGAGGATTCCCAGGGTTTCTACATTGTCATCGACACAGGTTGCCAGCGCAACGTTGTGGGCTACGAGTGTTTGGGAAAGTTTCTGGAACATATCGCCTACCTGGGATTGAGTTTCTGGGAAGCTGAGGAGCAAGAGAGGTTTCGGTTTGGAGTCAGTCGTGCGGTGAGCAAATCTGTGGTGTATTTCCCGATATGTCTTGAACATGTGGTGCCCCTGGTTTGCCGTACCTCAGTCTTGGACGTGAACCCTAAGTTGCCTTTCTTGGGATCGTTACCGATGTGGAAGCTCTTGGGCCTCCAGCTGGACACCTTGGGGGAAAGGGCTCATTTCACCAAGATCAACCTGTGCGACGTGCCCTTGAAGATTGCCCCGAATGGCCACTTGCTTCTGAGAGTCGACTCTTGGTTGAAGGATGTGGGGTTCCCAAGGGAGCCCGAGGCCTGGAAGTTCACCCCCTCGGACGTCATCATCCCGGAGCCCCAGTGGATCCCAGAGGCACCAGCCTGTGTTTCCGGAGATAGTTGTGCTCAAGCCGAGTCTCAGCCTATGCAGTTTTCACGCGCAGCACTGTGTGCTCTTACATATACTCACCGCGGGCTGCTTCAGCCTCGCGAAGTCCTGCCCTCCGTGCCAGACGGCTGTAACCTGACCGACGCCACACCCGTGTTCGAGAGCATCCTCGGTCTGTCGGTGAATGAAGTCGGTCAAGTCGGAGTCGCAGGAGGCCCGATCGTCTCGTCGTACAGTCCAGCTGACGAGGCAGAACCTGGCGATCAACGCGTGGACGAACCTGATGCAGCTGATCATGAACCACCTGTCGCACATCATCGGTCGCAGTCGCGAGCAGTTCCGGCAGAACATGGAGATGTCGAACCGGATGATGGGCACGATCGCGCAGATGGGCCACGAGATGGGCTACCTGACACCGATGGCGGACTCAGTGAAGGCGATCGCGAGAGGAGCCGCACAGGTTCCGGAGAGCGTGCTGCCACCGCCGCCGGCACCAGAGGATCAAGCCCAGAACTACTCACAGCTGTGCGAGAAGAGGGACGTGTGCGCCCATCCGACAACGAGGAGGTACTACGCCAAGGGGTACTGGCTGATCTGCGACCAGTGCGGCCGGCGGTGGAAGTCGGTCAACGGGAAGTGGATCGTGGACGACAAAGAAGATCCTCTTCGCGTACCTACCTCGACAAAGTCACTGGGTTCCTCCTCGCGCTCTCGGCCAGCTGCTTCAACAATGCCGAAACGCCCGGTCAAGTCTTCGGCGAGCTCGAGCCAGGGTCGTACGCGGACCAAGGCGGAGCCAAGGTCACCCTCGGAGCAGGCGGTTCCGACGGACGAGGAGGACGACGAGAACATGGACAGGACCTCCGGGGGCGAGGAGACGGACCAGGGATGGGACAAGCTTCCGCGCCAGCCTCCCCCGCGTCGGGGACCGAGATGGTGAAGAGAGGCGCCTGGAAGCGCCTTCTCGGCATTGCTAAGAAGACGACCGCAGCCTGCGAGACGCTTATTAACGTGAGTCAAGATGCCGATCGCCGAGCTGCCGATTTACGAGACGCGGAATGGTGCTGTTCGGACGTGGCCTTCATGGACATTCCCGTTCCCGAGTTGCCCGACCACCGGTACCTGGACAACGAGTGCCAGGCGTGCGGCACCGACCTCATCGAGGGCTGCGCCGGGACAGCAAGACCTACGCGACTAGCTTCACGCTTTGAGCTGAGGGCCTCGCCGAGCGCCGACATAGAGGACGGCTGGGACTTGTCAACTACGCGAGGTGCTCAGAGATGGAAAGATCAGATACAGAAAGACAAGCCCCTCTACGTGATCGTAGGCTTCCCCTGCACGCTCTGGTGCTCCTACAACGTCAATGTGAATTACGTCGACCATCCCGAGCTGCTTGAGAGACTTCGTGCTCGGGATCGACGGCTGATTGACTTGATCAAGTGGACCATCAAGTACCAGGTGAAGCATGGCCGGTTCTTCTTGTTCGAGAACCCGCCGACGTCAGCGATCTGGAAGGACCTCCAGTTCGCCCCGCTCCTGCCCTTGGGCGAGACCGTTATTGGCCATGGGTGCCAGTACGGGAAGACAGGCGAGACTGGCCTGCCGATTCGCAAGGCGTATCGCTGGTTCTCCAACTCGCCGCCCGCGCTTGCGGCTCTGAGCCGCCGCTGCCCAGGACTTCGTCCGGAGTCCGGGGGCCACTTGCACGATCAGATTGAGAACTCGAAGTGGACAAAGGCCAGCGGCGAGTACACCGACGAGATGGCCCACGCGATGCTCCACGCGATCCAGCAGGTCGCCGCCCAGAGGAATCCGAGCAGGTTCGCCGACATGCCGGTCGCGGCTACCGAGTGGGAGGTCGCCTACAACCACGCAGGTCCCATCGAGGTGCTGTTCGCCTCGCCAGAGAAGGACCCCACCAGGTGGGAGGCGGTCATGCAGGGCGTCCGACAGATCGTGGGCGGCTCCGCCAGCCGAGGCGGGAACAAGGCCATGCATTACCTTTCGAAGTCATCCACGCTCTGGAGACAGATTAGCCAGCTCGTCCCGTGGGACCTCACGATGATCCAGCTCGCGAAGACAGCCAAGCAAAGGAGGTTCCCCATCAACAAGGAGCCGTGGTCTCACCGTGGTCACTGCTACGTGGACGAGAAGGGGCATTACCACATCGAAGCCGAGGACCTGGTTGACGTGGCCTTCCCGACGTTGGCCTTGTCGCCGCCCGCGGACCTAGCCGTTTTCTTCTTCGGCTATGCCAAGCAGGAGTCCCTCCCGCAGGAGCCTGACACGTCACAGATAGAGAAGCGAATGCCGCTTCCCCCAGACCCGAACGACCCGATGCTGCCGAACAACAGCCTGCCGCCCGACGAGGACGACGACCTGCAGGACGTCCCGATCGCTCGGATGCCTGACGCGTCCGGCGGTATGGCTGGCATACGTTTTGTTGGAGTGACAAAGGAGCAGTGTCCTCGTGAAGTTCGCCAGCTTGTCGCTCGTATGCACTGTAACTTGGGACATCCGGTGCCCAGCGAGTTCTTCCAGTTCCTGGCTCAGAGAGGCGCCTCGCAGGCCACGCTGCTGTGCGCCAGAGCGCTGAGGTGCCCGGCGTGCCTTCGTCGCAAACGGCCTCAGCGACAGCGGGAGTCACAGATTCCAAGAGTGGGTCTGTTCAACGACTTAGTCAAGGGCGACTTGTTCTACGTCATGACCCACGACGGTACGACACACGCACTCTTGGGACTGGTGGACAAAGCTACGAGACTACATGTGGTGTGTCGGATTGCTTCACGCGAACCAGGAGACGTCTGGGAGAAGTTCCAGACGTGCTGGCTCACCCCGTTCGGGATCATGCAGATTCTGGTTGTCGACCGGGACGGTGCCTTCGAAGCCGTGTTCATGGACAACTGCCACACGTTGGGAATCGACGTGAGGTGCGTGCCGCCGGGAGCTCACTGGCAGCTGGGCCTGGCCGAATCCGGCAACTACGCCTGGCGCCGAGTCTTCGAGAAGGTGATCGACGTCATCCTGCCGACGATGCCAGAGCACGTGGACCTCGCGATCATCTCGACGAGCCACGCCGTAAACCAGTCAGTGCGCCGAGCAGGCCGCACCGCCTATGCCGCCGCCTTCGGACGGGTACCTACACTTCCGACCGAGCTCTTGGCCGACACCACGTCCGCCGAGTTCTGGCACAATTGCACCCAGGATGAGATGCTGGCCTACGGGGAGAGATGCCGCATTGAGGCGCTCAAGGCGATCGCCGACCTGGAGGCCGACGAGGCGCTGCGCACCTCCATCTTCCGCCAGCCTGTCAACCGCAAGGAGTACGACTTCCTCTCGGGACAGCGCGTGGCAGCCTGGGGCGAGCATGGTCGCAAGCGACGGGGCAAGACGCCCGTGGCAGGGTATCGCCCAGGCATTTTCTGTTTCTGGGATTCCGGCACCAACGGCTACGGCGAGGGCGAGTCTGCCTGGTTGCGGATCGGGCACCGCACTGTGCAGGTGGCCCGCGAACACATACGCCCAGCCGTCGGTTTCGAGGGCTGGACCCCTTCCGAGGAGGACCTCAAGGAGCTCAAGACGGCCGAGCAGGACTTGGCGAAGGCCGGCCAGGGCGACGCTTCGAACATCACCATTGAGGGCCCTCCTGAACAACAACCCGAACCAGAAGATCCGCAAGCACGAGTGCTGCCGGGACCTCTTCCGGCAGCCCCGCTCGAGCCCATCCTGGAGGAGCCCGCGCAGGCCTCTCTGGGAGACAACGCTACCAAAGAGAACTTCAGGAGCGCGTCAGCCGACGACGCCCCTGAAGCTGCGCCAAATGCTGAACTTCCTCAACTTGCCGACGCATCGGAGTCTCCGACGCCGACAGGCCAGAGCGGTACCCGGCGTCGAGCCCAGCGTCGAGCCGAAGGCGAAGCTCCAGAGCCCGCTGCGCCCTTTCCGTGGCCGGCACCGCCTCAGTTTGGACCAGTCAGAGCACGAGAGCGCTCTGCGACGCCCACGCCGAGGAGATCAGCACCTCATACCCGCGAGTCGTCCGCAGCTCGACCACCATCGAGCGGTTCGGCACCTTCGACGGTTATCGCACCACCACCGGAGAAGAAATCCCGACCAGGAAAGCTTCCTCACATACCGGGCTCACCGAGCCCAGCAGCCTTCGTGTCCAACGAGTCGGACGAGATGGAGTTCATCACACCGGATGGCTGGGACGGAGTCGAGGAGCCGGTCCTGCTCAGGACCCGCGTGTTCTCGAGCCTGGCGGAGGTCCAGGAGGCCTACGAGGCGCACCTCTTGCCCATCGAGAACTTCGAGAACGACCCGATCGACGACAGCGAGCCGGACGACGACTGGACAAACTGCCTGTACATGACCTCCCACGAGCTCTCCGACCTCAGGGACGGCGAGATGGACGTGGACTGTGCGACAGCACAGGTGGGCGACACGACGGACTCGAACAACCTGTCGAGACGCGAGCAGCGTCAACTGGATCGTGAAATCCCCTGGCGGGAGATCGCAGAGTACCCGGAGGACCAGTTCATGGAGTACGTCAAGGCCTTGCGCAAGGAGTGCCAGAACTGGGACACCTGGAAGTCCGTTCGGGCCTGCTCGCAGGAGGAGGCCGAACAAGTTCGTCGTGACCCTCATCGCCGCAAACGGTGCATCCGCTCGCGCGTGTGCTACCGGGACAAGAACTTGGGGTTTCCGCCGTTGAAGGCCAAGGCTCGCCCGGTGTTGCTGGGGTTCTCCGACCCCGACCTGGAGAAGTTGCCGCGTAACGCCCCGGTGCTGACCGACGCTGGCAAGAAGCTGATCTGCCAGATCGCGGTCTCGAATGACTGGCGAGTCGGGACCGGAGACGCGGAGAGCGCCTTTCTCCAGGGAGGCGCCCAGAGCGAGCGCGAGGAGGCGATCTACATGATTCCGCCCAAGGACCCGATAGTTCAAGCCGCCGGAGTCTTCACCGCCCCACTCTACGAGGTGGTTGGCAACCTGTACGGTCAGTCGACGGCGCCGTACCTATGGTACAAGCACGTGGTGACGACCTTCCTGGCGCTGGGCAGCAAGCTCCACAGCCTCGATTCAGCTCTCTTCTTGTGGTTTTTTCCGAACAATGAGTTGGCTTGCGCGGTGGGTATGCACGTGGACGATGCTCTTGCGGCACACCATCCCAAGTTCGACTTCACACCGATCGAGAAGGCTATTAAATGGCGAGGCTGGCAGTGGGACAACTTCGTCTTCCTCGGCGAGGAGTACCAGCGCCTACGTCAAGGTCCGTACAGCGGAAGTTTGTTTGTTCATCAAGCGGCCTACACTAAGGCGATTGCAGTCACGAAGGTTGGATTTATGGCCAGCACTCGGTCTTCTTCTAAGCTGACGCGCTCTGAGCGCGAAGATCTGGAGTCTGCTGTCGGTTCGCTCCAGTGGTTGTCCGGACACACACGTCCAGACCTGTCAGCCGCGGTTTCCCTTGTCCAGAGGACCGACCCCGAGCTGAACGACCTACGGATGGCCATGAAGCACGTAGAGTACGCGCACCGCACAGCCCAGACTGGCATCCTGATCGTCCGCGTCGATTTGAGCCGCGCCTGCTTCGTGAGTTTTGCAGACAGCTCATGGGCGAACGCTCCAGGATTGAAGACCCAGATCGGCACCCTCATCTTTCTGGCAGACGAGGTGATACTCACCGGACCCACGTCATGTACTCTCTTGTTTCACAAGTCCAAGAGAACGCCGAGAGTGGTGAGATCTACGCTGGCTGGGGAAGCTATCGCGCAGGACCTGGGAGTGGACTACGCGTCGTACTTGTCGAAGTTCCTGTCCGAGATGTTGACCGGGCGGCCTGCTGGCCGACGCCCACCGATCTTCGAGGTTATCACCGCTACCGACTGCAAGTCTCTGTACGATGCCCTCCACCAGCTCACCCCGAGTTTGTCTGAGAAACGTACTGTGATCGACGTGATTTCCATTCGTGACGAGGTGAAGGTCAAGAACGTCAGATGGATCCCTACGACGCACATGATAGCCGACGGCATGACCAAGGAGGATCCGAAGCTTCGTGAGAATCTGACCATGTTCTTGGCGGATCCAGTGCTTTCGCTCGTGGAGTCGATTGCTTGCGAGGAGCTGACCGGTGGGGATGGCCAAGTACAGAAGAAGTGATTTGATTTTTTTTACTTGCACGTGCCGGGAGTCGCGTTTCACTCCCATCCGCTTGGTTTCGCCCAAGATATTGCGAGTTTGATTTTTTATTTACACGTGCCGGGAGTCGCGTTTCACTCCCATCCGCTTGGTTTTGCCCAAGATATTACCGATTCCGGATGCCGTATCGAGTTTCGGTTCATTGATTTCAGCTGCCGATCCTTGGCCGCTCAGAGAATTCAGTTACTGTTTTATTTCGTGCTAATCCGAGTCCGTGCTGCAAACAAACCCGTTGTATAGCCAGGCCGCATTCCGAGTTTCAGAGCAGGACCAGAGAGAACTCCAGGAGTGCAATAGTCATTCTGTTTATCTGATAATGCTGGTCCCTGCTATTGCTGTTGCATGCTTTCACCCCTCTGCCCGTAAACATATTGGCTGAGGGGGGCCCCTTCTGCCTACGCTACCAGCTAGCATAACTTATCATTTGCAGCGAGAAGGTCTTGGAATAAAAGATTCACGCATATTGTCAGCACCTGCGTGTGCGTTGCAAATGTAAGTTGGATACCGGGCGCGACTAATTCTGTCAAGCGCATTGTTATCATTTGGGCCAACTCCTTACCAACTACTCTTGCCAGCGTTTCTGCCCATTAGTTACTTCCTGAAACTCGTTTAGTTTTGTGCGATAACGAAACAATGATGTGAACAAATTTACGGTGCTGGCCCTTTGAGTCTTGAGCTTGTTGATAATGAACAGATGTTGTGGGCACAACTGATATCTTTTCTTCAGAGCCGAGTAGGATCAATTCTGCTTCTTGAGCATACGAACTGCCTGAGGTATCTCCGCTGGAATCTGCCACAGTGTCGATCACAAATGGAGGCGTCAGCCGTGGAGAGTAGATACCAACTCCATCTGCAGATTTCTTCACTCGAGCCAGCAACGTGTTCGCCATCATGATGTGCCTGATAGTTGCCGACTGGGTATTCTGCTGGATACTCACTGCGTCCGCGATAGCATCCAATCTCGTTTGACATAACCATAGCAGTCCACTAAGAAGTCCTCTGAATGCTGGCAGCTTCTGTCGTGTGAGTGGTGAGTCGTCTTGCTGAGCTAGCGATTTGTTAAGAGGAATTGGCTGCAACTTCTGACTAAACTCATCCTGTGGCATCTTCATACCAAAGTCCGTCTTTTCGTGTTTAATTCCGACATGCATCATAGGTGGTTGCTGCCGCGTATCTCCTCCAAAGCGTGTCGAGTACTTCCCAAAGGATTCATTCAGCCATGGATTGGTACTCGCGTTGTTGTTGTCGTCCACATAAGAAGTTGCAATAGCTTTGAGCTCGCCTGGTCCTGCCATCCAGATGTAGAAACCGTCATCAAGCGCCGAAGGTGTGCCGCCAAGTGTCTCCGTCATGAACATCTGCATGACCACCTGAAACGCCAGCGGTGCATCATCTAATCCATGCGTTGCTTTCAAACACTCGAGCGCCCACAAGTGTGTACAACCTGATTGCACTACACGAAAAGCTCCATCAATGTCACGAAGGTGTCTCCATATATTGGCCGGTGGTGTAATGAATACCTGCCGCTTTGATGACTTAATGCCGCGCTTTCTCAGTATGTCGTACATCTGCTTGAAGGGTAGACCCTTTAAGGATGCTCTTGTAGCGTCCCAGCTCTCAATAGTGAAGTCGTAGATTGCCGCCAGAGAAATGAGTAGCCGCTGGGATAATCTCGTTGCTGTGGTAGCTCTCTTTGATAATGATGCACCTTGACTGTCGGGAAATCCTCGTGCACAGAGTCTGCTCTTGACGATCCACTCGAGCTCGTTGCCAACCTTGATCTGCTTTCACTTGCGAACCCATACGCAATCAGCTGGGTGTCGGGAGCATCTGTCGATGGATATAGGTTTCCAGACATGAGCTTCCACGAACTGCTCGATCTCCTTCCTGTCCGCTTCATCGACCAAGTCGAAGTGTTCTGCAAAATTTATTTGGCCGAGAATCAACGCGTCGAACCGCGTGTTTTTTTTCCCGGGTGCCCCGCGGATTTTTCTGCGTGTGTGTGTGTGTGTGTGTGTGTGTTTCCGGCACGCGCGCCCAAGAACAAATCGTGCGTGCGTGTGTGCGTGGTTGTGGTTGTGGTTGTGGTGGTGGTGGTGGTGGTGGTGGTGGTGGTGGTGGTGTGTGTGTGTGTGTGCGTGTGTGCGTGTGTGCGCGTGTGCTGTGGTGTGACGTGGTGTGGCGTCTTGGTGGTTTGGTGGTGGGCCAGGTGCGTGCGTGCGTGATGTCGGTGGTGGTGGTGGTGGTGGCGGTGGTGGTGGTGGTTTGTGTGCGTGTGTGTGTGTGTGTGTGTCTGTGTGTGCGTGCGTGTATGTGTGTGTGTGTGTGTGCGTGCGTGCGTTCGTGCGTGCGTGCGTGCGTGCGTGCGTGTGTGTCTGTGTGCGCGCTCGTGTGATGTGGTGTGACGCGGTGTAGCGTGGTGGTGATGGGTGGGGTAGTGGGGTGGTGGTAGCGGTGCGCGGTGGTGGTGCGCGTGCGTGCGTGCGTGCGTGCGTTGGTGGGTGGAAGTGGCGGTGGGCGGGGCGGGGCGCGGTGCGGTCGGTGGTGGCGGGCGGATGGGCGCGCGAGAAAGAGGCCCGCGCTGGGGCGAGAACGCCATCCTGGACGACGGAGGCAAAACACCGATCCGAAAATGAGGCCCACGCTGCAGCGGGAGCACGATTCGGAACGAGCGGAAGCCCGAAAATGAGGCCGGCGCCTCAGCGAGAGCAGCATTTCGAAACAAAACAAGCGAAAACTCATCTCCGGGAAATCTTGTGTGTATTATCCCGGCAAAGCAACCTAACAGCGATGTGTAGAAGCATATATGGAAACATTCCCCTTAAGATCCAGATGAGAATCCAGTTGTAGAATATTCCTGTTCTCGCAGTCGCAGTCGCATTCGCGATGACAGTCGCAGTGGCAACGGCAGTCACAGTCACAGCCTCAGCCTCAGCCTGCCTCAGTATCAGCCTGCCTCAGCCTCAGCCTCAGCCCGCCTCAGCCTCAGCCTCAGCCTGCTTCAGCCTCAGCCTCAGCCACAGCCTGCCTTCAGCCTCGGCCTCAGCCTCAGCCTGCCTCAGCCTCAGCCTGCATCAGCCTCAGCCTCAGCCTCAGCCTCAGCCTCAGCCTGCCTCCGCATCAGCCTGCCTCAGCCTCAGCCTCAGCCTGCCTCAGCCTCAGCCTCAGCCTGCCTCAGCCTCAGCCTCAACCTTTTCCTCAGCATCAGCCTGCCTCAGCCTCAGCATCAGCCTGCCTCGGCCTCAGCCTCAGCCTGCTTCAGCCTCAGCCTCAGTCTGCCTGCCTCAGCCTCAGGCCTCAGCCTCAGCCTCAGCCTCAGCCTCAGCCTGCCTCAGCCTCAGCCTCAGCCTCAGCCTCAGCCTCAGCCTCAGCCTCAGCCTCAGCCTCAGCCTCAGCCTCAGCCTCAGCCTGCCTCAGCCTCAGCCTCAGCCAGCCTCAGCCTCCTGCCTCAGCCTCAGCCTCAGCCTGCCTCAGCGTCTGCCTCAGCCTGCCTCATCCTCAGCCTCAGCCTCAGCCTCAGCCTCAGCCTCAGCCTCAGCCTCAGCCTCAGCCTCAGCCTCAGCCTCAGCCTGCCTCAGCCTCAGCCTCAGTCTGCCTCAGTATCAGCTTGCCTAAGCCTCAGCCTCAGCCTGCCTCAGCCTCAGCCTCAGCCTGCTTCAGCTTCAGCCTCAACCTTAGCCTCAGCCTCAACCTTTTCCTCAGCCTCAGCCTCAGCCTGCATCAGCCTCAGCCTCAGCCTCAGCCTGCCTCAGCATCAGCCTGCCTCAGCGTCTGCCTCAGCCTGCCTCAGCCTCAGCCTCAGCCTCAACCTCAGCCTCAGCCTCAGCCTGCCTCAGCCTCAGCCTGCCTCAGCCTCAGCCTCAGCCTGCCTCAGCAGCAGCCTGCCTCAGCCTCAGTTGGCTACGGGCATTCAAAATGTGGCCCGGGAATGGAGTTCTGGGAACTCGAAGAGCACGAAGTGGCCTACAGTTGGCTCCGGGCATTCAAAATGTGGCCCGGGAATGGAGTTCTGGGAACTCGAAGAGCACGAAGTGGCCTACAGTTGGCTCCGGGCATTCAAAATGTGGCCCGGGAATGGAGTTCTGGGAACTCGAAGACCACGAAGTGGCCTACAGTTGGCTCCGGGCATTCAAAATGTGGCCCGGGAATGGAGTTCTGGGAAGTCGAAGAGCACGAAGTGGCCTACAGTTGGCTCCGGGCATTCAGAATGTGGCCCGGGAATGGAGTTCTGGGAGGTCGAAGAGCACGAAGTGTGTGACTGTTGGCTTAAAACGACTTCTGCGGCACCCTGTCCGGCACCCGCCCAGACCCCCTTGTGGAGTCATCTGCTGCTCTCTTTTTAGCCCATTAGAAACCTATCAGTCTTCGCTGTTAGGTAAAAAAACAGTACGCGGAGGGGTGCCCGCTATCTTCCGCACGCCATCAGGGGATGGAGGAGAGTGTATTCATATTGAGTAACTGTGGAGGGGGAGGAGGAGGCGGAGGGGGAGGGGTCCGTAGCCATTTTGGCTCAAGCCATTTTGGCTCAAGGCCATATCGGGAACTCAACCCCCCGTCTCAAGTGGCCTGGCCCGCCGCGCGCGTGTGAGACCCTGGAGAGTTGCCCCAGGACAAGGGTCTCCGCATTTCTCCGCCACACACCTCACTCCGCGTACCGCCCACCAGGATTCAGCCCTGGACCCTTCTGCTCCCCACATTTCGTTGAGGGTGCCAGCTCCGCTGGCGAACGATGAGTGCGGCAGATTCTCGTGATGCGAACACACCGCCCGAGCAGAAGATTGCCCGCCTGGAGGGCAAAGGTGCAAGTGGAAAAGGCCGAGATGGAGCAGTCCTCTTCGGCAGCATCCCCCTCTCGTCATCGCAGGTACAGATCCTCGAAGGCGACCCCATCCTCGACGAGCTGGACCAGCTCGCTTCGCAGGTGCACGCTACGCCTGCTGCTTCTGCTGATGGTGACGCAC